CCCCCCCCCCCCCCCCCAGTGTGGGCCCAGGCTGGCTCACCCCAAGACCCCTGCAGGGGTAGTTGTGGGGGGTATGTGGCAGAGGGGTCTCTGACCCCCACTCCCGCTCTGCTTACAGCTGCCAGCTGGTGGGGAGGGGAGGGGGCTGGGGAGAGGGGCAGTCTGACATCTGGCAGCCTTCTGGGAAGCTGCTGGAGTGCCTCTGCCTGCTGGCCTGGGCCAGTGCAGGCCAGCTCCAAGCCCCCTCCCACCCAGCCAGCTAACACCTGTTGGGTTCAATGGTGCTCTAACTCAGGGCGCTTTGTGTAAAAAACCATAGTTAGAGAGCCTCTCTGACATTATGCCCAAACTTCTGTATGCAGCCCCAGTAGAGAAGCCTAGAGTCCTCTTTAGAGGTGGTTTCTCCAAGGTAGGTTTAATGCCCTCCAGCGTAGTTTGTCTCACGCTACCAGCTCTGTACTTGTTGCACGGGTAAAACGAACACTTCAGTCTCTGGGATTAGCATTTAAAATAAACCCCAAATACCCCTGCAACTCGTAAACATTCACCTCCTCTCACTCCAATACAGGGCAAGTGGTTGCAACAAAAACTCCAGAGACTTTAGATGTGCGATTCTCAACCAGGGTGCTGTGGCACACAGGGGTGCTGACAGCTCCTTTGAAGGGTGCTATGAGATGTGAGGCAACAAGCAGATAAAGGCAGGCTCATGCATGTCTCTGCCTGGCCAACACATCCCCACTGCCTGGCTTCTCTGGAAGGAGGTAAACACTATAATATACAAATTAGTTTTTGAAATTGAGTGCCGCCCCATTCACAAAAATTATGGAGGGGTGCCTCAAGGCCAGTGAGGGGTGCCTTGAGGCCAAACAGATTGAGAACCACAGATCCACAATCCACTCTTTTCTCACAGGGCCCAATCCCTCTCCTATTAAAGTGAGGGGCAGTTTTGCTGCTGATGTCAATAGGAGCAGGAACAGCCCCATGATCTGTAGGTGAGAAAGGATTGCCTTACCTGCCATGTTAGATTTGTTGTTGCTTTGTATCTCTCTTCACAGTAAACATTGTTGACCAGTGTTTGCTTCCTCCAGTGCATTATAGTTCTTGGAGCTGAAGTGTTTGTAGTTTCAACAAAGGTGATAACAGGTGCTGCAGGTATCACTAGAAGTAATAGAAGAGAAGAGGAAAATTACTCTGAAGCAGGCCTGAGACGCAAACGTCACGAACACATTACTGTTAGGCACCACTAACATCATTTTTAATATATTTTATTAAATAGTGCAGCTGCTTTCTCCTCACAACAATATATCACAGTCTCTTTAAAAAGCACCGTCAGCTTAGTGATCATTGCACGCTACTGTCCATTAAAGATAACTTACTGTTAATCAGTTTTACACTTTTATTAGTATACACTGCAAGTTGCATATGTAAAATACTTGCCAGGAAAGGCTCTGTTTGCTGCCATGCATGAATTCTCCTAACAAATCACTAGATTTGTGAGACTGCTGATGCTGAAGGTCAAAGCACTCTACCTATCAGTGAGCACCTGACATGCTGTTCTCCTGCCTGCTCAAGTCCAACATGTCACGAAAGACTGAGAAAAGAATATTATTTCCAGTACAAGAATATTGAGACCTCAGTTGAGCATTCAAGAGGATTGGGGTTTTGATGGAAAATATTTTATGCCAACTTGAGAATAACTAAGACATGACTATAAGAAACTATTAGAAATACATCAACAGCCATTTCCCAGCCATTTATAGGGTGCATCCTGACAAATGCACAAGTGCAGTTAGTGGCACCGTAAACCCAGTTGAGGTGTCACAAACCACACACCGTGCATGTACACCTGCATGCTGCACTGCAGATTTGCAACATAGTGCCAAAATTTGACACCAAGAGATCCCAGTGTCAAAAAAATAACTGCTGCAAAAAGCAGCGCGGTGCACACGGCAGCAGCATACACCACTAGGAGTGGCTGGATCACTGCTGCTGTTGTCCTGGGAGACTCCTAGAACTGCAGGCAAGGTTACCAGGGCCAGCACGGGTACCCCACCTGGGGCAATTTGCCCTGCACCAACCCCATGTGCAGGGGCATGTGCCGCAGGAAAAAGCAGTGGCACAAATTTGTCCCACTGCTATTTTTGCCATGGCAATCACACACCCCTGAATGTGGGGACACACACAGAAATCTTCAGTAGAACATCTACACCTAGATCTAGATTTTATTGATTTGGTTAGGGTCCCCCCCTCCCTCCCTTCATGTATTACAATCTGAAAATGATTACAAAATCTGCTTTCAAAGTCACTGTTGAATTACCACACCATACCTAGATCCTCAAGGTCAACTATTAGATCAGGTGAATATGCTGTGCCCAGGACATTTTGGGCTTGGACCCTCATGGAGTACCGTTTTTCTCCTTGCAGTTTGTTCAGTGGAATGGTGAGAGTTCCTTTCGAAGGAAAGGCCTTCTTCTCACATGTCTGTACACTAGGAAGGGAAAAAAAGCAGCAGGGGTGAAAAAGCAGCATGGGAGTTTTGCCATTAACTTCAAAGGAGCCAATATGTCACCATGAGCTATATATTATTCATCAGTAGCTACGGAATAAGAATTGAATCTTGTCATTCATATTTCTAAATTTTTGGCTGTGATTGAAATAGCTTTAGGATTATGGCAGGTCACAGTAAGAAACAGTTCAACGATAGCTGGTCTCTGAAGCTCACCGTGTATTTAGTGAAAATACCACCATGAGGATGGCTGTACAGTACTAAGACACAGCTCAAGATCGTCCTGCAGTTATTCCCAAAGCAGTTTTACCCAAACTTGGCTCCAATGTTGTTTTCTGTGTTTTGTGGTGTTCTCCAGAACCTAAGCTATCATTTTAAAAAACTGCCTTTTTATTCTTTCTGTTTGTAAAAATAAATTTGTGAACAGAAATAGCTTCAGTAATTACGTTTCCTGATTCATCAGCTCTGGGGAGAATGCAGTTCATGAATTTTTCAATGAGAACATATAAACGACTGCATTTTAATATATGTACTTGAACTCTGAAATAATCAGATTTCAGTTCACAGAATGTTAAACAGTTTCTTTGGCACTATTCAGCACAAATAACTTCACAATATTAATGTTATGGTGTTTGCAATGGAGTTCAAAGCAGAGATTCTGGGGTGAGCATGAAGGATATTAAGGGAATGACACAAAAAGAAGCTGTGATTTGGGGGTTGTGGATAGAAAAGGTGTAAAATACCTAGTGAATTTCAACAGCCTTCATGCAGTGTTGTCCATATATAAATATCTGGTAAATAATGGGTATGTTCTTGCTTTGTACTGATAAGAAATTTCTGGCTTTAGAGATGGATGAAACATTCACTATGCTGCATTTCTGCATTTCATTAGGAAAATCAAATTAGATTCCGTTTTTGAAAAAAAATCTAATTTAGCCTAAGTTTTGAAGCAAAACTAGTTTTCCTGTAAAAGCAAGAAACTGCATAAGCTTTATTGCAGGCAAATGACTAGTTTGAAGAATTCTGATGTAACCTATGTCCCGTTCTCCCTCTTGCTATGCTTCATTCTTCTGCCTGTCTACAATGGAGCCATGTGCCCTGAAGTTTACTCAGTTCCAGTGGGGCAGACTTTAGTGGGAAAGGTATAGGCCTGGAACCAGTTAACCAATATCATTTAAAAAGCAGAAAATCCTGAAAGCAGGGAAATTCCTGAAAGCAGGCCCATGCATAGGAGCAGATTTGTCTCTTGCAAATATGCAGACTAACAATCCATTTAAAATCAGTTGGACAAGAATCCATTCTCCTGCCCTGTGACAGTGTCTTCCTACACTTTTAAACAATTCACAATTGGTCATCAAGTTCTAATGGGAAGATTTCAAAGCTCAGGATCCCATTGCTTTTCTTAACAGATATTTCATTGTCAAATTGCTCTTGAGGTGGTATGATTTCTTTCATATTATTTACCCACTTGCTTTGCTCCTAACTCTTCTGTTTTTCTTTTTTGCTCTCTACATCCATAATTAGTACTAAAAAAAAGCAAAGGGCTGTGACTTCTCATTCGCTGAATACCTTTGTTGTGAATGGGCAGTGTACATCTGAAAAATTTGGTATACTCAGTTAATGCATCTGCCCAGTAAGGTCAGATCTGACAGCTGAGAATGAAGCAAGAAGGGAGAGTTCTGTTGTTCCAGGGCTGCAGCGTTTCTTTACATTGCTGTTTTACTATGTGAAGACATAGTAGCAGATTACTACATTTCAGGACCTCTTTCGCTGCTGGTGAAATGTTCTAGTATCATACATGAGTTTTGGTCCCTTGTTGACAGAAACAGGCATTGATTTCAGCGCTATCAGTTTTGTGGGAGAGAAGTCCTTTCTTCTCCATCCCCACCTTTGCCTTCTCACTTGCACATAAGAAATCCTATAGTGGGGAAGGTCCAGGACCCTTTGTCTAATGGTGGCAAGTGGTGAACGCTTTAGAGAACGAGTATAAGAAACTGGGCACGTGTTGAGGGATCCATCCCCCATCTGACCCTGATACAGTCTCACTTTCGAAACCACTGTTCTGATTAATCTGCATGAAACCTGCTTTCTCTTTCCAGTAAGTCACCCATGGTGGGTGTGCGCTCTTGAGAGCTGTGTTCAGTTGTTACCTCTGCAACAGACTTCCTGAGTGACTCCAGGCAAGTTACTTAATCACTCTGTGCCACATCTGTAACATGAATAATACCATTCACATTTCCTCCGCTGTGCCTCTGGCTTTCCTGTGTAGATGGTGAAGCCTTGGTGCAGTGAATCATCTCTGATTAATCTGCTTTTTAGTCCCTGGCAGAATGATATCCTTTTGGAGGTATGTGATGTGCTATAAGTAATTAATAATACAGCATTGATGGCTCCCTTTTCCATTATTGCCTTACTTCACTTTTATAGCAGTGTTTCTCCACAGAGCAATACCAGCATGAGATATGTAGGTATAAAACTAAGGCAGTAGAATGAAGGGCAAGACCACTGACCAGAGAACTGGCTTTTATTTTTATCCTTGATTTAGGCTTTGTTTGATGCTCAATTACAAACACAAGTCCCAAATGGCTAGAGAATTGACTCTAGTGCAAAGAAGCCTAAGTTTAAAGGTTTAAATTCTAAGCTCAGCCAAACTGGCAGTAAGCAAGTGAGAGCTTGCTGCTGGCTCAAATGAAGAACTCTGTAAAGACACCGTTTTAGAAAATGTAACTAGGACACTGTCTGTTTCCAGTCATCAGAACTAGAACACTTTATACAATCACGTTGGTTTGTGGTTGCTGTTGCTCTCACCGCACGTGCTTAGACCACGTAGTAATATTGTTTCCCCAGGTTACAAAGCTTGCAGAATCTAACCCTGTCCTCAATTAATATAGTTTTATTTTTGCTTTCTTTCTGTGCCATTAGCACCTTAGCCACAATGGAGGTTTACTGGCAAGAAACTTGGCAAGTCTCATGCTTCTTGTCCCTCATTCTTTACAACCACCAGGGTCCAACCTGGTGCAGAGAATCCTGTTTTGCGCGCACTTGGTTTTCAAATGATACCGACAAGCAGTTCTGACTGTACTTACTTCCACACCAAGAGAGTGTAATCAGTGGTTATGTATGTACGCTTCCCAGGGTCCCAAGTACAAGTCATGTGGCTTGAATGTTCATAGATAACACAGGTTAAATTCCTGGGGCTGTCCGGTGGATCTAGAAAGACAGATCAAAGGCAAATACATGTAAGTACAATAAGTTTAGGGCAACTCAGCCAGTGACTAAGGATTTACATATGTGAAATGCTGATGTCCCATGTCACCTAAATATAAGATTTAATTAACTTTGGACGTAATCTGTGAAGAGATGCTGCTTCAGGGTAGGCAGACACAAGCAGATTCTAATGTTATATGGTGCCCACCGGTAGCGAACTTCAGCTGTGATATGAAAGCACTCTAATGAATTAATCCTCCAATAGGCTGGAACTTGGCCTTTGAGTGCGGAGTTTGCAGGGCTCCGGCAGAGCGTTTTTGAAACCTTGTCAATTCCCTTGGCCAGCAAAGTACTGCAAGGTGAGAATGGCTTCTTGAGAAAGGTTGCAAGGTGATCTTTCCAAACCAACTACCTGGATGAACTGTGAAGTTCAGGGACCTTAGGTGACAGGCCAGATTTCTCAATCTCTTCCTTAAACCTGCAGACACCAAGGGATCTAGCATCCTTTCTCTTTTCATTTTGAATGCCAATGAACAATTTAAGCTACGTAAACAGAGAACTGGATACCAATGAATGGGCAGCTTTGTAAGTCTTTGTAACAAATAATGCCACCGATAAAAAAGATATGGCTTATTAGCAGATGGAGCAGTAGGGAAGGGAGGGGCATCAGGGCAGGGGAATGGCTTGTCAAATGCACATCAGCTAAGGACTTGAAAGGGAAGTCTGCTTAAATTTCATTAATTCCAAGTCAGATGTGTATTAGTCCTTTCCCTCCGCTGTTGGCTTTATGGCTACTTTGCTGCATCCACCCAGTCAGCAGAAGCACTCATGTGACTGTTATGGCGAAGGGCACCAAGCACACAGGGAAACATAATGCACCTCAGAACAGAGTCCAAACATTTGTAGCCATTTCAGCAGAAGGCATGCAAGTTTGAGGAGGAAACCCAAACCTGCATGTTGCTCAGAGCACCTGGATCCTAACTCTTTCTCTTTTCTGCCCGCCCCTTCTCCTCTTCCCGTTCTTAGCAAGGATGTTCTGACTTGTGGGGATTCATTGTGTGCAGGAATGGAGCAGCTGAGATGTGGCGGGAGTCATACCGCATAGCCACAGCAACACAAAATGGCAACACCCATTTCTGTGCACTGGAAGGGAAAAGCCCCCAGTGGGCCCCAGTGACTATCTGATCAAACAGAAAGTCCCTATTTACATGGAAGTGGCAGCAAGGGGTCAGCCAGCAAAGCACTGGGATGTACCTCCTGTGACCAGGTTTGTTACCACCACCTTGCCACTGATTTGGTTGCTGATCTTGAGCATGCTACTTCGGGGGGGGCAGGGGGCTGTGGGTTGCAAGTGAGGGGCACTGGCAGGGCTTGTGGGGCAGCAGCTTAGGAGTGAGGGGCAGAGGCAGCGCACAGGTATATCACTGCCCTACCCAATCACATACCCCCCTCCCTGCTGGCTCCACACCCCTCAGGTGTCCTTTTTTTTGATCCTGGGATCAATGGTAACCCTAACCCTAACCCTCTAACCCCACCATGATTTAGTTTCCTTGCATATAAAACAGAGGAGTTACACTACCTCCTTTTATAGAGCTCTCTGACATCTATTGACTAAAAGAGCTGTGTCAGTACTACTACTAATATTGCTCTACAGTGAGGCCCACAGCCACTTCCAGGGAGCCTTTTATCTCCTTTCTGTATGTGCTAGCAGGTGATGGTGACGGAAGGAGGAGGAGACCGTTTCCGTGTCATTTCCAAACACCTGTACATTGCAGCCAGTAGACAGAACATGCAGGAAAAATCTTTCTGATTATGTCATCTACTCACACTAGCTACAGGTATGACTGACTGGTTGATTACAATAGTTTTTAAATTACCAATAAATCTTCAAATATTGTGTTGTAAAGAAAAAAGTAAGTGTAATCTACAGAAAAGTATGAAAGTTGTTTTTGCATGATTTTGCCTGATATTAAAAATTATTCAGTATTCATAGAGACAATCCAAATAGGGATGAAAGAGACCTCAAGAGATCAGTTGATCGAGTTCCTTACCCCAAGGCAGGATTTACTAATTCTACATTCAGCCTAAATTCCAGTGTATCTATTCTAATTATGCTTACATTCTAATACTGTAAAGCTAAAAATAGCCTGCAGGCCCCACAATGTGATTGCTCTCTGGAAAGCAATTATAATTATACCATATTCATTTAGATGAACTAGAATTAGTGAAAAACCACCACAGAGATAGCAAATTACTTACATCCTGCAGAAAATTGTGTTCCGCATACCAGCAGCCTTTCAATACTGTTGGGACACTTCGCAAAACATACAACAGTCGTAGAATCTGGTTTCCTAAAATCCTGAAGCTGAAGCTGCACAGTGGTTCTGTTTATTCTTAATAATTTGTCCTGAATGTGAGTATCATTTAGACTCATGTATAATTTTGACTTTTCACAGTTTATGGTAGAATGGCAATTTATAGAAATGTTCCAACCCAACTGAACAACTGGAGCTGGTTCTATCCACACGTATCCAGAGCAGTGGAGGTTTATAACACCTATAAAAATACAGAAGGATTAAAATATTGCTCTGACTGAATGTTTAAATTAAAGAATGCATGTTGGTTTGCATTATGTTGTGACTGGGCAGGTTATTACAAAGGCTACTGTTTAAAACCGAACCACAATGTATCACATCATAGACTAGGCCTGAATTCTTCAGCAAATGTGCCCAGCAAGTACAGTAGCCAGAATCAGTTTATTGGAAATTCTGTAGGCGCTCCAGGCCTGGGTAAATCCTGTTGAGGTTTCTATTGGACTAGACATGCAATTTCTTTGTAAAGTGCTTTGAGATCTACTGAGGAAGATGGCTATGTGAGAGCTTGGTATTATTATAACATGAGGAATTCAATCAGGATAATATCCCTTGTATTATATATGTTAATACCAAATGTAATCCTTACTCTGCCCCTACCTATTTAGGGTGGACCTTTGATAGAGTGGGCCTTCATTATCGTAGATGTTAAGGGAGATGCGTGTCAGCCTGGGAAACTGTGGTGAGCATATGTTCTGTCCAGAGGATCAGTAGTGAAATAATTCATGCTGAAAAGTGACGTCTAATGACAGCAGAGCAGCAGCAGCCCACTGGGATCAACAGGGTGTTCTTTCAGACAGGAAGCAAAGATAGTCACAGTCATGGCCCCACTAAGTCAAAGTGAGGTTAGCATTGAGTTCACTGCAGCCAGGATATAACATGTGCGTGTGAGTGCACAGAATCAGACCTTGGAGTTTGAATCACTCTTTCACGCTAATGGGAGATTCTATGAGCACTTCTGGGGCCAGGGAGTGCAGAACACAAGAAGCCCTGATTTCCAGATCATCCTGAGAACAGACCCAGAGTCTGATCCCCTGGCTCTGAGAATGCTCTTTCACATCTGAAGGGGAACTTTCTGCTGACGCTCAGTCTGAGCAAGGACGTCAGAATATGGCCCAATCTCTGACAATACAGGTAACTAACTGAACCACTAGCTATGATGGGATCTCTGGTGGCCTTTCCACAATGCCCAAATACAGGGCAGCATGTAGATAACATAGGAAAGGAAGCCAACTGTGATTCAGAGTGGCACAATTTTATTTTGCTTCACCTTGCTCAGGAAGGGTGAACAGGGGAAGGAGGGAGAAAGGTAACTGTTAGCTGTATGCCTGGCCTATTGTCCATCCCCTAGCATGCAGGCTGATGCAGTGGAGGAATGAAGCCAAGGCCACCTGTCTTCTCATGCCCTGCACCTTTGTGTGTGCAGAGGGAAGTACAGGGTCTCCACACATGCTCTTCTTCCCTCTGCCCGCGTCACCCCTCTTTTAGGTATTTGGTGCTTTCCCCCAAACCCACTGTGTGGGCATGCTGAAGTGGAACCTCTGAAATGTCATCAGTTTGACAGGATGACTCAATCAGATATGAAATTTCTGCTGGCACACATTTGAGCCTGTGCTTTAATAGTGACTCTGGGGAAATAACCTATAAAACATTTTTTAAAAACTTACCCGATCTGATCTGATCTGATCTCAGGCAGCTCTACAAGAGTACTAGACTAACGTACAAGGAACACTGTATAATCAGATTACAGCTCCGCCCCAGCAATGACAAATTTAGCTTTCGAGTGATATCAGGTTTGATCTGTTCTTCCTGGAAAGGTGCAGCTATATTAAAACCTTGTATAACATAGGGGACTGCAGTAACATATAAGTTGTGCATGTATGTCTGTGACTTTCAAATATTGTCTAAAATCCCCAAGCAGTTGAATATAGTTAATAATATTAACTTCTAACATGTCCTCTTTTTAGGAGCTCTTCATTCTGACATTAGTGAAACGTGTTATTGATTTTTATTAGTCATTGTCCTTCATCCAGTAGTGAGATAGGAGAAAGACCATACCTCTGTAAATCCAGCAGAAGAGTATATGCAGAGTCACTGTCACCTTAGATCTGACCATGATCTGATTCATAGCCTATAACCATGGAAAGGCATTGCCCCTGAGAAATGGAAAGAAAAAGTTAGATCTTTTGCACAATAAACAGTGCAACTATGAGACAGATTGCTAAGTACAGTTCAAAACTGGTGAAATTAGAAGCCAATATCAAAACCTCAAATGTACAAATGAAATCAGCCATTGTTGATAAGGATGGTTTTGGAGGCACAGACCCAGGAGTGAGCTCATTGCTACTGTTTTGGTTCTATTGTTTTGAAATGGCAAAATCCTGTGTTTTCCAGCTTAACTGTTGAACAAAGCTGAAAATTTTGGCCGTGGATATTGAACCATGGAGGCTGCAAAAGCCAGAGGACCAAATTTATGCCTGTAGTGCCACTGAAATTGATAGCATTGCTCCAAGCATGAATTTGGCTTGGTGTGGTTTGGAGATGGACTGAGGAGGTAACAATTAGGGGTATGAGTTTAGGTTTAAGTCAACATTTGAGACATGGGTTCCAGACTGAATCTGGGGTAGGGTCTGACAGTAGGGAATGCAAACAAAGTAGAATATTTAAAATAAAAGCACCTACCAGGAATGGCCTGATTTCAGTATATGATGAGTACCCACAACTCCTGTTTCATCTGTCTTGGGTCTGCCAGTTAGAGAAAAGGGGAATGAGTTGGTTCAAGGTTCAAGATTTGTGTGTAAGTTAGCTCATTTGCTTGCTCATTATGACCATGTGTCTCATATATTTCTTTCTTTCCCTTTTTTAATTTGTTTTTCAGATAGACTTTCACCTAGTAAAGAAATTGTGTGGACAGCAGATTCACTTGAGAGAGTACTTTCTTGTTAACAATTGCCTGTGATACTTTTTGGCTGGTACATTCTGCTCTTTGAAGGGAATTTCTGGTCCAGTCATTTTCATATACCCCTCTCTGTTGGGTTGGGAAACCTTGTAATTATAGCCTTTATGCTCCAGGCCTGTTATATGGAACTATCAGACCCCAAAACCTTAGACCTAAGACATAAAGTGCCTATGGATTTGGGGGTGTTTGAATTCTTGGGAGCCCCATTTGCAACATATTTAATGGGCCAAAAGGAAGGTTCTTGGCACTCTATAGAAATCAGACCTCTGTAAGGCATTTTTACCCAAATTCACTAGTCATTTTGTTTTAAATCTTGGCTGTAAGCATCGCTGCAACTTTACTGTTATAGGCGCTTCACAACCAGAACTTACAGGGACTCTTGATACCCTGAGCCTTGTAAAAATCAGAGCACCAACCCATGGAGCAATAGCTTTGCTTGGAAATGCATCAAATTCCTGGAGATGGGAGCATCTCTATGTACTTGGATCCCCTTAGGAATTCATGACATGAATGGATTTGGAATAAGTTCATTTTCTTGGTGAAGTCACCCCAAGACATCATTTCCTTGTAGATCCCTGGTATTCCCCACTTGAAAGAACTTGAACCTGAACTGGCTTAGGAATAAAAAGGAATAAAAGGAATGTGTACAAATATGTTGCATTTTTAGGAAAGCACAGCTCATACCAGATGCATGGCATATATGGGAACTGAACTGGCCCTGAGCTGGATGTGTAAAAACCTATATTTACAGAGGAAGATATTCTGTAGCGTCTGCACCATCAGATTAACTTGGAATTCAGACCAGCAGGAGCCCAGACTCCCAGACAAGCTCTTTAAAGCTGTCTCTCTGTCCACTACTACTCCTTTCCAAATATGCCCAGTACAACCTTCCCACCCAATCTTGAACACTTGTTATGAGGTTGCTCAGTGGCCTGAAAACTTTGCCTCTGCATTCATCCCTGGTCTTGGATTGGGTTACTGTCCCTTTACTGTGTATCTACAGAAGAAGCTGCCCATCTCAGGAGTTGTCTGGTTGGTCAGCTCTCTCCCAATTCTTAGAAGGGTATTTGCCTTCTGGGTGCCTGAAAGATGCTCATCATTTCACTGGAAACTTCTTTCATGGCTACCGGCTGTAGAATGATATTGTAGTGGTCGGTAGCAGCGGGAGGAGATTGATTCCTACCCTGTTAAGATGACAGACATGTGTAGCTTTCTGGTCCTTCTGGAGTGCTGAAAAGCAAAGCTGCCAGCATGCTCCTCTCCCACTTTCTTACTCTGAGCACAGAAGAAGTGGCTAATGGGTGTTCCTTTGAGAGTATGCCAGCAGGGAAGGAAAGGCTTGGTTGCTTCTTCTGCAAAAGGGAGAAGAAAGAGGGATGTTATTTCCTCCAACCCCACAGAGACCCTTGATGGAAGATTTCAGAAGCATGGAGAGTCTAGCAGTCCATGCAAAGGAAGTTGCTGTGTAGTGGGACTGAGCTGCAGGGTATAGGTGGCTGTCCCCTGCAAAATGTAACCCAAATTCATAAACCTTTTTGCAAAGCTGGATTGGATGTTGGGGCTTGTCCCAGTCTTGTAAGGGTTGCACACAGACTTTGTCTTCATATCTGTGAACTATCTTCAATGGTTAATACATCTTCACATGAGCCCTTGATGCATGCCCCTGATGTAATGGTAAGCTGCTACCAAGTCCCCTCTCAGCCTTCTCTTTTTCAGGCTGAAGAGTCCCAGATCCCTCAGCCTTTCCTCGTATGGCTTGCTGTGCAAGTCCCTGATCATACAGGTGGCCCTTCTTTGGATGTTTTACCACGTCCTTGTTAAAGTGTCGTGCCCAGAACTGGACACAGTACTCCAGCTGCAGTCTCACCAAAGCAGCGTAGAGTGGAAGAATCACTTCCTTGGTTTTGCTGGAGATGCATTGATTGATGCATGTCAGAGTATTATTTGCCTTGTTGGCTACAGCATCACACTGCCAGCTCATGTTCATACTGTGGTGTATTATTACCCCTAGGTCCCTTTCATTCTTAGTGTTGGTCAGATTGGCGCTGCCAAGCCCGTAGGTGTGTAGGGGGTTGTTCATCCCCAGGTGGAGCGCTTTACATTTCTTGATGTTGAACTTCATCTGGTTCTGATCTGTCCAACTTGCTAGCCTGTCTAGGTCCACCTGTATCCGCAGCCTATCTTTAAGCATGACCATGCTTCCCCATAACTTGGGGTTGTCTACGAACTTAGCCAGTGAGCTCGTCACCCCTACATCCAAATCCTTAAAGAGGCTGAAAAGCACTGGACCAAGCACTGACCCCTGAGGGACACCACTAGCCACTTCTTGCCATTGCTGTGCCAGCCTAAATCAGAACAGGCTTGCAAGGCACTTGTCTAAACATAAGCTATTTCTTCTGCAGATCTGAATGATCTCCCCCTGCTTTATCATGCAACAACACTGATAGGAAACAGCCCCACACTGTGCAGCATTATGGGATTACTAATGTCTTACAGCAAGATATTTTAAGAATACTCAACTATAAACTAAAGTTCAATTATTCTACAGCTCACTACAGTCTAAAAGGAGAGGAGCAAAAGAGCAGGATGGAACATAGAGTATAGTGAAAGGTCTAAGGAGTTCTAGCCATATGCCGCAGATTTGGAGGTATGATCAAACAAGAATAGAGGCAAATGTCGAGGCAGTCCAGATATTGTCATGGAATCAAAGTGCACTTTCCACAAGAGTAGACATTAAAGAAAGCTCCATTAAGAGGTTTATAATCTTCCTTATCATAAATGGTATAGGAAGTTTCAATAGGATGACCCACCTAAATGAAGGTAAGCACATGGGCCAGTCCTTGCATGATGGAAACCTTCTTATTTTAATAAGTCTTTTCCATATTTGTAGATTATGTCTATCTTCCCCTAGTCAGTGGACTATTATTCATATAGTACTTGCTTCACTTAGCTCTAGTATCTCATTCACTTATGTTTTAAAAGTCCAAACAATGAGGTTTCTCCCCTTTCCCTTGAAAGGCTAGCTTATACTCAAACATTAGTCAGAAAGCTGTCTCCTACGTTTGTAGTCTAAATTTTTCTTTTCTTAAATTTATCCCATTATTCCTAGTTATACCTTTCTTTGCTACCTCTTATGAGAAAGAAAATACCAGAATATAGTCTCTCTCCAGAGAATGCCAGAAACCCACTTCCTGTTTTTCAGTGCTGGACATGCCCATTTAGATCTATGTTTGATAAAAACTCCAGAAGTAACATCAGAAGTAATCAGAGGTCCCTAATAAAGATACAGCTGAAAGGCACCTTTGCTCAAGACTGAAATACCTTAAGCTGATGAAAAGAGGAAGAGCCATACTTGGTTTTAGTGGGTACTTGAGAATAACTGAAGTGCAGAGCTAAAAACTTTTCCTGGGAGAGCATATCCATTTGGAGGCTGTCTGAGGACATACAGGAGCAACCTAAGCAGTGGCGACACGTAGGGAGTGCATGGGGGTGCGCCCCCTGAGCCAGCATTCCTGGGAAGGGGGGGCAGGTGAGAGTGCTGGTGCCCCCCTCCTGAGAGCGCTGGCCGGGGAGTGGGGCACCAGGAGAAGTGATCCCCGAAGTTCCCCCATCACGCTCACCCTGAAGTGCCAGTAGCGTGTCACTGCCACTTGTGGGTCGGCAGGATCAGCCGCAGGGGGACGCCCTGGGTTGCTGACTGGCCGCTGGGGGGGGCAAGTGCCCCCCTCCCCTGACTCAGGAGCCATGAACCTAAGCATTATTTTTTTGAACAGAAACTTTGGGATACAGCTGGGTTTCTGAAGGGAGACATTGCTCTGTTTTGTTTATGAGGCTAAGCATAGTAGATCTTAGCTCCAACATGAGCTCTACAGATGAAAGTGTAGCATGGCTCTCATTCACAAGCACAGTAGCACTAGCATTTCTCGTTTACATAGGTACTTAAGTCTGTTATGAAACAATCAAAAGTGGATATTTCCACATAGTTTTTAAATGTCAAAGATATGAAAAAGCTTGTATAAAAAATCTTAACTTGTAAATATTAATTTTTCAACCAACACGCATCCTATTAGAACATGTTTCTAAAAACTAAAATTAAAAGTTGAAATTAGTGGTTCTCAAACATTCGTGGGTTACATACCTCTTCTTAAGTTTGTTATGCTGCTGGGCCCCTCCGTGATTCCTCACCTTTCAAACTTCTTCATCAATCTAAAAGTTATCGTAGAGTTTTTCTTTCTTTCTTTCTTATGCTTTTCTCTTGCCTACCCCTCCAGAAGTTTGTCTCGTTCCCTGAAGGATATGCCTGGCAAAACACCGCTCTAGAATACAGATTACCTTACCTAACAAATATCCTGATTCTTCTACTTATGTGGCTTCTGCCACAGCCTGCTGGAAGCTCTTCTCCACATTTTGGATGACGATAGCTACCTTAGTCAAATTTCAAGCTCTTCCTTATTATCTGATTTGGTAAGAGAATCTAAAGGCCATGCCAACACCCGTTAACTTTGTGCAAGTTAAAACAGACAAATACTATGAAAATGATCTCTATGAATAGCTCTTTTTAAAGAAAGTCTTGCTTTAGATTTCAAATAACAAATGATTGGGGGATTCACTATTCTCATTTTTATTCCAAATTCTAGGCACCATTTCCAAACTTGAGAATTTGAACATGACCCTGTCTAAGTATCTGGTCTGATCTCTTTAGTAGTTTAGCTACTAAAACCTTTGAGTATATTATAATTGAATTACAACTTAGAGCAAGTACGTACATATAAATTAACTGTATATTATATAAAATAGTATATGTTATCAATAAATATAAAGTAATTGACCCTACTTTACAAGCATATGCAGTGCACTGTTTACGGAAAGCATAGACAAGAAAACAGTAAAACATAATCTTGTTATAAACAAAGTTATTTGTTCTAGTAATGATATCAAAGATTAGCCAAGCTGGTGATTCTTTACCTTGCCAATGGTTAGGATACCCCTTCCATTTTTGTAGTTAGCTCCTTGATTTCTTAGCTCACTGCTGCCTAACAGAATTGCCTCTCCCAATTAATGTGCACAGTGCACTATTATAATGGCAGAAACTGTCAGCAAAACCTTGACCTATATTATCACTAAAAAAACCACGCTTATAGTTTCCAGTTTGACAACAATCTTTGAATCTGAGTCAGTCCATGGGAAAACCCAGCACCCCTTAAAGAAACAGTCTCATGTTTTTCCCCTGAGCCTTTTGGAAGAATTTATTTTAATATTATTAAAAATGTAGCTACCTTCCTCCCAAAGCAACAATAACCATCCTCAGCAACCACTTTATATTACATTATGTGTAAATACGTATTTGTCAACTATCTAGCAAAACAATCTAGCGAGGATCAATTTCAGCATTTACTGTTTCATAAGTGTGCTTAGTTCAATTCTTAACAAAAATATTTTCTGATATAAAAACAGTCTATAATGTAATAATCCTTTGAAATACTCCATCTTTTAAGCACCATCAACATTTTATCACATTCCACCTCTTCTCTTTCCAGATCATTTGTGTGAAATCAACAGAAATGCTCCTAAAACTTAGCATTTCCCTTGTTTCGTCCCAAACTGTTATGATTCTTACCTCCTCATTCATTACTGAATGCTCTTCCCCTGCTTTAATGACACGGAGCAGATTAAGGGAATGTCTGATTAGGTCCCCTAATGACTGAGACTACGTTCTGACCATGATTTAAAATGTGGGCCCACATCCAATGTTATGTGCCTAAACTAGCTCTTGGTTGTTCATAAAGAGAGTGAGAGATATAATTGCCCTTTTCAGAATTCAGCTGTGAGATGGTAGACATCCTAGAAAAGCGAGTTCATAGTATTCCCCATTATATCAGGTCCTGTCATTTGGGTCAGTATAAAACAGTAAATTCTGTATAGCAACAGGAAACTTTGTTCTACTCCAGGGAGAAGTACTTTTCAGTCTGCAAGGCCAGATATATTTGGGCTTTAGGCAAGAGAAATGCAATGTGTGAGGGAAGTAAAAGTGCCCCACAGCCTGGGTATCACATCCTCCGGCAGCTGCTGGTCCAACTATGGACTACTGTACTTTCACTCCCCTTAAGCAAGGATATCTGCATTTATTAGAAGGCAAACATTTTTACAAGGGATGCTCCACTTGAAGAAGTTTTGTAGTGAGGGAAATGGGAATATTCCTTCTAAATGACAAGTTTGAGGGGATCACCTCAAACTTGATGTACTATGAGGTATTCTGAAG